TGTTGATTTAAACCGACAAATAAATCGTGTTTTCAATGTCGAAGATTTTGGATGATATTGAGTTAAAGACTTAGCTACTTTAAAGACTTTTGCTCATCTATAAGAAGCTCTATAAGTCAACTTTATTCTGATTGACGACAACTTCTAATCTATTACCTGTGGGAGCCTCGGTGGCCCAGTAAGTAAGACGCGTCAACCTGGAGGTCCGTTGGCCGGGAAAGTTCATCGAGGTTTCCAGGCGTGGTTCCTCTTTGTCAGTGGTGCAGGACCGAGGGCCTGTCAAGGAACAGTGTATAGTTGTACGGATGGGACGAAAAACCGAGGTCCCGTGACACATTGGCGTACAAGTAAAATTTCCCTCATGGCATACGGTACGGCGTATACTCGTCTTCATTAGCCCAGTCGGGGTAGAACAGTATAACGTTAAACCCAATTTCATTTCCTTTACCTGTAGTTATGTCTATATAATTATTTCTATAAGTTGGCTGTAGGATGACAATCGCGTTTAACAGGGCACTCATTTTTCAGAATTCCTAGACCGAAATTCCTTGTAATCGCGTTAAAAAAATTTGTCCATTATTTACGGACAGCTCAATATTCGATGCACTAACATCAAAACAGGCTAATGTCTATGTCGTCACATTTATAGTCCAGGAGATATACTATAAATAAAGTCAGAACCTCAAACAAATTGCAAAAGAAATGTTTTTACCGTTAATGTATTGTTTGGACTTTGGCGTTCATCCTATCAAAAATCGCCACCGATCCCTTGATCCTTAGATCCTTAATGCAAATTTTCTTCTGTATAAGTTACTATAATTAGAACAACACCTGGGAGTTAAAAAAGGGGGGGGGGTGTTCTTGAAATTGCTTTAGAGAAAATACTTGTAAATCGATTGTGTAAAAAATGAAATCTCTGTGGGGGTTTGCATACCCGAATTAACAGCAGCACACACGAGCATAGCAAGCAAACATTGAACGCGTTGAGACTCTGTCATTCCTTTGCCCCTCGTCATTCCACCTGTGGATTTTAAGCTTCGCATTAAAGTCTGCTCAATTATAAGGTCTGTAGACAAACCAGCCGAGAACCGATCACTTCTGCTCACTACTTTCGGGTGGTTACTAGTAAGTTTATACATTTCTTGCAGATATAGATAGGCTGACTTTACGTATAAACTGTGACCTGTAGCTGCTAGGTAAGGAAGCATTCAGCAACTGTTTTGAGGCGTAACTTCCAATCTCCTGTTCTTTCAGCTTAAATAAACCTTTGCATCTATTGAATAAAGTTTAAAAGGAATCTCATTAATTGATATGCATGCATCAAATCTAACGTGACGTTGCCAATGCCTAATTGAAGTAATTGCTTAATCGTGTAACGTCACGTTACTTTCAGTCTGAATTGAAATAATTACCGAAATTCAATATATTTACGATTTTTTTTTAACTAAATAAATATTATTTCATCTATTATCAAAAGCCTCTACCGCGACGTGCGTATATGTCTGTCATATTGGGACATTGATCCCGCGTAACAAAATGGCGTCGTCTGATTATGCGAACGAAATTAACACTTTTACGTTTTCAGTATCCGTCAAAGGGACCGAATGTTTTGCCATTAACTGTACAAATTATCAAAACCCCACATCAAAATTAAATGGAATAACCTTCCACAGGTAAGAAATTCATATAGTAATTATATTTTAAGAACCCGGAATGTTCCAGCGAGCAGCGTCATGTGTTGTCGTAAGTAGGCCTAACTAAGTTTATTTTTAGTATTATTATACTATTCAAAAAAAGTAGGGGATATTTGATTTTTAAGTGTTATTAAAGTCACCTAATGAAACTAACGAAGAAACAAATGACAAAATGAAATGAAGTTCACATTCATCGATTTATTCCAAATGATCGTAAGACTAAGTAAGGCACAGACTGACCATTATAAGGGTAAAATGATACCCGGGGTCAAACAGCAAAGTTACCACAGCATCACAACCAAGTCAGTAACGGGTAAATCCTCCTCTGTTTGCCAAACAAGCATTGATCCGACGTGGCATACTCCTAATGAGACGTCTAAGGTCATTTTGGTCCAGATTGTCCCATTCCTGTTGCAACGCAGCAGCAAGTTCTTGGACATTGGCAGGACGTTGTTGACGTTGACGTAACCTCTGTCCAAGCATGTCCCAGACATGCTCGATGGGGGAGAGGTCAGGACTCAGTGCTGGCCAAGGTAATGTGGTGATGTTCTGTTGTTGGAGGTAACCTGTAACGATCCTGGCCCTGTGACATCTTGCGTTGTCATCCTGGAAGATGAAACGGCGGCCATGACGTCGTGCGAACGGCACAACATGGACTGCCAAGATGTTGTCCCGGTAGTACTGGCCTGTAACACGCCCTGCAACAACATGTAAAGCCGTTCTTCCAGCAACAGTGATGCCTCCCCACACCATAACAGAACCACCCCCAAATCGATCATGTCTGATGACGTTAACGTCTTGGAAGCGCTCGTTTCGACGACGCCACACCCTCCTACGTCTGTCCAAAAAATCAACAGTGAACCTTGACTCATCTGAAAACATCACATTGCTCCAGCGTCGATTATCCCAGTGTTGACGATCCCTACACCAACGACGTCTTGCCTGAATGTGATGATCTCTCAAACAAGGGATCACGCGAGGACGTCGGGCGCGAAGGTGACCCCTATGCAGTCGATTCAGAATCGTCTGGCCACTCACTCTCACACCAGTGTCTGTTTGAAGACGAGCGCTGATCTGATTTGCTGTGATGACACGATTTCTCAAGGCCAAGGTACGGATAAATCGATCCTGGGCTTGAGTTGTCGCCCTTGGTCGACCTGAGCGTGGTCTGTCCTGTACAGATTGTGTATCACGGTATCTGGACCATAGCCTGCTTATGACAGACTGAGAAACATTCATCGTCCGCGCCACAACCGCCTGTGTTGTGCCGATCTGTAGCATGCCAAGGGCACGTAACCTTTCATTTTGGGTAAGCCGACGCATATCAAAATTTGTTTTCTGGTCACTAAAACAATTAAACTGATGTTTCCACCCTGGAATTCAATGCCACAATGACTGTAACATTCAAAGTCAGAGTCGTGCAAATCTTGGGTTGGACCCCCATGATGATCCCAAGCATCACCTGCATTCCATGCGGTAGCTATTGGTGCGTTTGGGCGTCACATGTAACTGGAAATGTTTCTTCTGTTAGGTTCTATAGTTACTTTTTTCGTAGTCATTTGCATATTTTAGTATTATGCCCCCAAAATCAAATATCCCCTACTTTTTTTGAATAGTATATTATGCAACACTCTCACTGTCACTGATGTATCTTGTCCCATCCTACCGCTTACTAAATATAGCCTGTCCTTAGAAGTTAGCCTATGGAAGTTGTACTTAGGTATTTATTATCAGAATGGATTTTAATTTTACCAAAAAAAAAAGCTTCTTTCCTGAACTGCCGAAGGAAGCTTAGCTTCAGCTTTTCATTGAGTGATGGCTACATGGGCGAATTTCTGCTCACTAATAATTCCTTCGAAGACCAAACGTTGTTGTGTGAGACTGTGAAAGGATATCTGACAATTCATAAAAAAATTGACTGTCACTAGATAAGAGAACATGAAAGAAAAATAGAAAAATCGCTGTCGTAAGAGAGGGCGTGACATTATAAAAGTAGGAGAGCGAGAAGTCAGCTCTTATTTGCTCTACAAGTATTAGGCATTATATCAAGTTTTCTATCTTTCTAAGTGCTGAAAATTAGCCCAACTCGTCATAAGGATATGCACTAAGCCCGGCTAAAATTATTGGAAAAAACTGTGTTTGACTTGTGTGAAATCTGTGCTAAAACATTTTTATTGGATTTTAAATAGTGACCAGTCAACCATGGATAAGTAAATTTGGATTATATTGTTTCAAGTATCAATGGTGTGTGTTTGTGATTAGTATTATGGCTATTAGGGTTATACCTAATGAACAAAGCTCTAGCTTAATCTATAGCAGACATGAACTGTTACAGCTGAGAAAAAGTGGGACCAAATGTGAAAGCAGTAAATTTTATCATGAAATTAAAGGGATAACCCATGTTATATTAAAACATAAACCAACCAGGAGAAAACCTAAATATCACATACCCACCTTAATCACTTCAAGATTTGGCACCCATTAAAAGAAAACCTCATGCAATGAACCCTATTGCAAAAACTTCATCCATATAGAATTACAGAAAAGTCCTAACAAATCATGTAGAACCCCAACTACGACACGTTTCTGCCTTCTGATCTGTAGATCAGTGCGGAATAAGACATTGGATACAAATGAATTTATACAAACTAATTAACTCGATCTATTTTCACTTTTTCAAACTTGGCTCACTGAAACTAATGATTAATCTTCATTAGCTGAACTGATACCCTCCGGATATTCCATACATAGTGTACCTAGGAAAACACGGGGTGGTGCGGTTGCACTTATATTTAAATCAACTATCAAATCTACCAAACAAAACCAACTAAATTCAAGAGCTTTGAATGTTTTGACTCTTTTGTAACTATAAAACAGAAAACCATACGGATAATAAGTATATACTGTCCACCTGGAAAATCTGTCGATTTATTCTTCAATGAATTTAATTCATTCCTGGGGATGTTACCTTCAGTAATTGTGATCTACTTGTTATGGGTGATTTCAACTTCCATTACAATAACAGCAATGGCCCATCATCTTTAAAAGTTAAATATCTTCTTGACACATTCCTTTTGCACCAACATGTTCAAAGTAAAACCCATGTCCGTGGTCATACCCGCGATCTTGTAATATCAAGACTCTGCGAAAATTTCGTTGGTAATCTATCTGATCACTTCCCATTTTTTCTTAACTTAAAGATCCAACCTACTGATTTTCCGTTCCAGACGTGCCAAACACGAAATCTAAAAAAATTGAACTCAAATCAGTTTGTGTCTTATTCAGAAACAATACAAAACTGCGGAAATGCACTGATGTTTTTATTAGAGGTAACTAGTGTATGTTAATAACAGGCCAATTGCCTACACATGAACATAAACAGTTCATATGGGCGGCTTATCTGACGCCCCATTTCACTCGCAAAGAGATACACTGTCAAAAGTGAAAATGGACGTTTTTGATTATTGTCTTAATAATGAGTAATTGCTCCACCAATCCTCAGAAATTCAGCAATTCGTCGTGGCATGCTACTAATCAACCGTCCAATCACGATTTGGGACAATTTGACCCACTCCTCTTGCAGTGCCACGGCCAATTCTCGTTGTGTTGTCGGTTGACGTTGATGTCGACGAACACGTCTCCCGATCAAATTAAACGTAACATTCTAAAGCAAAGATACGCTAAACGGTAAATCTTATGCAAGAACTGGTAGGAAAGCAAACATGGATAGGATTAACCAGCAAGCGGCAGTTTTCATCAACCCTTACTTGAAATGTCAAATTTGACAATGAACCCCTCCCACGTGTATGGCGCTATTGGGTGTCGCTCATGCAGCTCATTGGTTCTGTTGGGGCGATAAGTTCTTCATTTGTGAACATACTCTCCAAGCATGTAAGTGTCCATGACTATTTATCATATCACAACCTGCATAGGTATTTGCATCCCCTACTTTTTTTTGAAGAGTATATTTTCATATTTTATCATTGCTTGATAATGACCAGAGAAGCCTAGTCAAAACGTCGCTCAGTAGTAAGCAGTAATTGTATTCCATAGAATTGTGTGACCTGTATATTCCAGTTCAATTACTAAATGCCATTGAAACAATTTATACTAGTCAGGTATGTGCTTGGTATATAACGAATGAAATGAAAATGTCAACAATGTGAATTTAGATCAATTTAAAAAGATACACAAATAAAGATAATATTATCACAAATATAACCTCAATTAAAGATAAACAGCTTCTAAAAGATTTACATGGATATTAGAGAATGCAAAGTAATGACATATTAAGAGGATGGCCTGATAAGTCATTTTTTAAGATGCATTATGTAAGAACTAAATATGCCTATTGTAGCTATTATTATTTAGACCTTTATTCACACGACAAGTCTATTATCAACTCTCTATGAAATCGGTTGGCTTAGATATTGAATGGACTAGACCATCCATGTCATAATAATCTGTTAAAATGGATGTCGCTCAAGAAAAGGACTAACAACCGAGCCCTCGTTTACGATCACTGCAATGGTACTTGACACTCGGCTATTTCTTGTCAAAAAGTTCAAACATCCATTACTAAATCTTACATAATACATTTTTGTTGTTGAGGATCGTTAAATACAATGCCATTAAAATCATTAGCAGCGATCTGTGGAACGCAACTTTAGACAATCTCTAAATAATAATAACAATAAAAGTCCACGTGGAATCCCTGTACAAGTATATCAAAGAATAAATTATGGAGTAACATAAGAGGTTTTTGCCGGTGTTCCCAGACCGATGTAAACTGGCTTTTTAGCGTCTGCAATAACACGAGTTCCCATGTATGACATCAGTCCTGCTTGATTAAGGTTTAATCCTTGATTACTTAATATCTGAGAATATGTTTCTGCTTCTTTTTCAAACTGGGATGTGATAGCTTCGGCAACTGAGTCGGCTCTGAAGAATAATTACGAAGATAATCAAGTTATACAATTAAATAAGGAAAAAATAATTTTAATCGCATTGTAGACTAATCTAGATGGTATTAAAATAATAACATTCAAGTTTTTTTTTATAAGCAGTGACGGATGTCGTAAATGAGGTTGGTATGCTTATCGTAAAACATCTAATAACAATTCATATGTCAGGAGTAACCATAGCTAACAATCGTTATAGTAGCACTGTACTTACTTATTTTTTCTTACTCTTGCATCTGATTCAGCTTTATCCAGTATAATCTGTGCCTGTGTTTTGGCTTTTAATATTTCTGTATCAGCTTCTGTCAAAAGGCGAGGTCGTTCTGTTTCTGCTACCTAGTTAACGAAGATAAACAGGGTTACATACACTGTCAAACAAAAATACAGAACCAGAAAGTTAGATTGGAAGGGTTGGCGGTCCAGGTGGTTAGTCCCCATGTTTTAAAAAGATAAAATTCAAGTGCTTTATTTTACTCACACGTGTAAAAAAATAACAGTAACTTAACAAAATATGTTAAGACATTTCGCCTCCCTCCGCTCGGCGTACAGATAATGTATCCAAGGCCGATTTACCAATCGGAATAGTGGACCATTGGGCTTGGACCCACGGGTACCTGGGGTCATAATCCAAGAAATGATGGCCCCCATATGCGCCAATGCTGACATAAACAGAGATATTAGGGATATAAACACATGATGTAAGTTTCACCAAAATCGGATTAAAAATGTTACCCCCCTAGACTGTCCACAACCTTGGTATTCCATGCTTTTACACTATTTGCGTAAAGTGGAGGGGCCATTTTAACGGGAAGTTTCAGTCCGATAGATTACGAAATTTGAACTCAGCTGTCATTACGGTGATACATTTCGTACCATTAGGGGCCATAATCCAGGAAGTTACATTCTGATATGCACCAATATGAAAAGGAACCGAGATCGGTTGGTTATAAACATACAAAATTGTAACCTCTAGTGTCCACAAGTTAAAAAAAAGTATTTTTCGTACAAGTGGTGGCCACATGGTCTGACACATGATAATGTAAAAAGGGGTCGAGATCTTTGGTATATATAAACCTATATTTCAAGTTTCGTCAAAATCGGATAAAAAAATGTCTCCACAAACAAAATGTGAACCCACGGACGGACATACGCGACGACAATATGCGTCCACATGAAAATGTGGGCTTATAAAGATTGGCGAACTATCAAAATATACCCAAAGTCAAGATGTATACAACACGAACAGCTACGCGTGTTGGTCGCGTGGATAAGTTAGCCATCGAAAGCGTCTAAATAAACCGTTAGCATGGGTATGGAAGTTATATTTGTGAGTTTGATTGATGAATTCAGTAAATTGTCATCTGATGATCTGGAATTGGCGATGCGTTTATTGTAGGACACTCGTTTCTTGAGTCCGCGTAGCGCATAGATAGCCCAATATAATTTTAAACGTTCTAAAAAATAGTCCCACCTTGATATCTTCTCTCGCCCGCTCTTTCCGTTCTATAACATCTTCAAACTTTGATGGCCACGCTATGTTGTCTACCTTAAAATATATGATAGTCTTAAAATATCCTAGTTTGTAAATATTTCAAGATGGTTAAGATGAAACTGCCAATATTGTCTCTTGGTAGCATTTAGGTACTTAAGAAACCGCAATCATTTTAGTCGTGGCACAAGCCCCAGATCTGTGACCAATTTTCGGGGAACAGATCTGAACATGGCTTCTGATAGAAGAGAACCTAGAGAAGATATCTGTAGTTTGCGGGGGGGGGGGGGCAGGTATATGGCATTCCCAAACTGATAGTAGAACTAATTTGAAAGCAGATAACACACACAAATTACGCATTTTCGCGAGTACAGACCAATACATATAATAATAAAAGCCATAAATTATTCCAGACATCCATGGATCTTATCCTTCGTATACTGCAGAAGAAAATCCAAGATAGGTTTTGTTGGTCGTCAGACTCTTTTGTGCTAGTTTCCAATTCATCACACAAACGGTTGATTCCTACTATAAAACACATTTACATTTCCTTTGAGGTATGAAACAATTAGCCAATCGGATGTCATACCAGAAGACACATTTATACGTACGGTTTGATAACGATAAGAGGTTACTTGTCGAAACGTCGTGCTTGTAGAATAAAACTAATGATTGTTTCCAATAAAATGTATGTTATGTTAATATGTGATTGTCTTAGCACTTGTTCATACCGAGTTATGTCTCGAGAAAAAGAATGCACGCCAATATCGGTATTGCGTTTTCTGTCTGTAACTCTTAATGATCATACCAAGGGTCGTGGGTTCCCTCCCGGTGTTGGCCGAGAACGTTCATCGGGATTTTCCGACGTGGTTTCCCCTTGTTAGTGGTGCAGGACGGAGGGCCTAAGGACAACTGTCTAGTCGTTCGGATGCTACGAAAAACCGAGGTCCCGTGTACACATTAGCGTGCACGTAAAAGATCTCCTGGCAGTTTGAATTCGATATAAGAGTAGGCCTTAGCACCGCTGTTCGGGCAAACTTGCCCTCATAGCACACTGTCTGGCGTGTGCCTGTCTTCATTAATATAGTCGGAGAAGGACAATAGGATGTTAAACCCCATTTCATTACTGTATGTTAGTCTATAATGATATTCGTGCTTTACATGCATAAACTTTTAACATTACATTAATTAAGTTTTAATACCTGCACGCCAGCAATAGTACAGAAGTGAGCCGTGTATCGTTTTTGTAATTGTTCTCGAACAACTCCCTGAAACGAACCTCGTTCTGATTGAAACTGGGTCGTATTGAACCGACTACAGGCATTATGCAAGGCAGCCTCACCTACATAAAGAAAATTATTTAACAGGTTTTAATTCAATCCTGGCCTTTTTTATGTTTGCCTCATGCTTGCGAAATTCCCCTTCTTTATCATTATGAGATGAATATACATATTTCCAATGCAGGGTCAAGTTTGTTGGCCATTGGGTTTTAAACCTTGTTTAAACATGACATCGTTACTTGGCATTGTCGTTTAAGTTGCATGTATTTTCATATGTTTTGTTGATTGAAATATTTAGCCAGTCTTTACCTTCGTCTTCCAGAATCTCTTTGAAATCATCAAAATCTTTAAAATCTTTCATAATAGTTTGTAGTGAATCTATTTCGGCTTTATATTGATATTCAACATTTAATTCCATAGTAATTCCTTCTGCATTCAAACACTGAAAAAAACCCAAAGAAAGATGTAATTCATAACCAAACCGTAACACCAAATTCATTCTGGATTTAATCGTAGATAACGTTTGGGGGCTACAGGACAGTTACGATTTCGGAATCGGATACGTTGGACATTTTTCTATGAAGACGAGAATCATGAAGTGCTCACATTAAGTCCCTTTTCCAAGTACACGTTTTCGCGGCCTTTCCGCGGGCGAAAAAGTCGGTATAATAAAAATACCGGAAACGCTGCGAAAACGTGTACTTGGAAAATGGGCTACAAAATTTAATTAAAGAACTAAACGCTTCTCTGTGGCAGACAGGGGTGTTTGGTGGCTAGATGGTTTAACGCGTGCGTGTCATTTCATAAGGTCTGTCATTGAGTCAAGTGGTATATGCTCCGATTTCTGCCCACTGATAAAGACCCTTTCACGTAAGCGAATTAATGAAATGAAATTGAACCATATGTAAGTCCCGAAATGACTTAGTTTGTCTCGAGTGGACGTTAACCCCATTTAATGGTCACTCAGACCAGTAACATCTAAAGACATGTTTCATAAAGTGTGATTTGTGCGTGTGAACACAGCATGAACGAGGGTGAGAAGTTTACTGTGACCGGAGGGTTTCCAGCTGCCAATGGATCTTTCACGTGCACTACCAATTTGTATACGTTAAGTATGTGTCTTATCTCAAAACGAAGCAGACGTCCAAGCAGAAACCCCACGAGGTTGGTCAGTCGACGCTACTCCCTATCACATACATGTGTGGGATCAAAACCACTGAAATTGATGACAGACCTTATGATTTAAAGCCCTGCGATCTAAGTCTTATTTTGACCTTTCCAACGTTGTGAAAGTTGTTGACAAATTCCTTTCAAAGCATATTATCACTTACTTTAAAATAATAGAACTGCTTGGTAGTAAATGTGTTTGGATAGATGATAAACTCAAATCCTGGTGGTCCCGTATATAGACCTTCATAATAAGGTTCTGGTCTCAATGTCAAAAATACTCGGTTGTAGAATATAGCAACTGTTATAAGAACATATAAGAAAGAGACACATAAATCGAGAGCAAATCATTAATTCAAAACAATATCTATCTTCTACGCCCTTTCCTTCTAAAATGCCCATTATTGCCTATGATTTTCCGCTTGTCCAACAATACGTGAAAAAAAAGATCAATTGCATTAAATTTTAAAAAATGGCACAGGTTACACCATCTCCCCCGCCCCCTAAATAATCGTATAAATGATCAATATCAAACGTGTTTCTGTTTGAGTCGGCGTGTTTTTGTTTTAGATGTAATGTAGCTAATGAATTTGAAAGATCTGTTCCCGATATGAGCCACGAATCACATTGACACCCCCCCCCCTCCTTCTCCCATGGGACTTAATCAAATATTCCACGTCCCCCACTAAGTGACCATTATATGTAAGGCCTACCTTCAGCTGAGGATAGTGTTTTTATTGACGTTGCAATAAGGGCTACTGAAATAATGAGAATGCAACTGACAGCAATTACTATTGCCACACATTTACGGCTCACTTTCGACATAATTAAAGTTTACTGAAAAAAATATATATACATAAGAAAATAAAAATACATTATTTAAAAAATATCAACATCAAATCATAAACTAGCTGTTTGCCATTAATTGGGCATCGTGAGTTGTTACAGTGCATTATTCGCAATATCCGTTAAATCCATATTTTTTTCAAATAACAAATTTGAAATCTTAAAATCAATCGAGATATCCCGTTCTGAAGATACGACGAGCAGAATGTTTGCTTTGCAACGTTTGTCATGGCAAACCTGCGATGAGGATGACATGGTTTGTAATGATACAAATAAACTATGCCAATACTTTACTGGTCCTTGGTTTGCGATGACAAACAGTTTTAAGCCTAACTGTACGCCGGTCAAATATCCAACAACAAACCTTTATGAGTACAAAAGGGCGGGGATTTTGACCGTTACACACTTGAATTCGCATCTTTTTATTTTTTTTAATTTTTTTTTATATTTTTGTATCAAACAGTAGCCTACTGAACAACCACTTTTACACAGTTTGCGCAAAAAGCGGCGACCATAACCCAAAAACGTATGGTTCAATGCACCCTAAAATCAAACTTATCCATATATTTAGGTATCATCTGAATCGAATAAAAATTATGGTTTCTAGATGATCCACAAATATTTCCTATTTTAGTGTAAATGGGTATGTAAAAGACACCATTCTGTCCGACCAATAACGTCTTATGTAAACAATGCACGCGCCATTGAGCCAAAGATTGAGGCTGCGTGATGTGACGTCACATGTCGAAAGTAGTCATCTTTCACGGAGTTATTAGAAGACTTTCGTAATACCTCTGTGAAACAGATTGCCCATTTCATTTCAGTGTTGTCTCTTTATGAAGCTGAGGGAGACAGAAAACACAGAGCAAGTATATATAGAACTGGTATCTGTCATACAATATGTAATAAAAGATCTGTTCAACTTTACGTACCAATGTTATATAGTCACAACTAAAAATAACCAAAAGAACGATTAATAATTAATCATGCTTGACCCTACAGCTCGTCTGTTTACTATAGTTATAATAAATAAATAAATACATGTCTAATAAAAACTGAATGATCGTGCTTTACGTAAACCATTAAATCCGACTTTATTTCATATTTTACAAACAAGTCCATAATTCATAATATTATTATATACAGTATGCTAAAAGGACAGAACGTAATGCAATAAAACGATGTCATTACATGAACCCGACGAAGGTCAGGTCAAGGTGATAGACTGCACTTTTAAAGTAATCTATACTAATATTTGTGACTGTCGTTTGTCTGTCTGTCTGTCTGTTTGTCTGTCTGTTCGGGGTTGGCGGCTACACTAGGTCTGCCCCGAGTCTGAAATTTGGGGTATAGGGGTAGCTCGGATCGGGGAGTAACATGACCCCCGAGCGAAGCCGGGCATTCTTCTTGTTTCATATAAAATAGTGAGATACTGGGTGATCCGACCAAGCTAGCATATGCGATACCGTATATAAAGGGGTTGAAATATTGTTAAATACCAACTTACCCTCCACGACACGTGTCCCGTCAACGTAATAGTTTTGGGACAACCATTTTTATGATAATTTTAATTTCTGTGTCTAATGCGAGATCTGATTCTTCTCGGTCCACACCAGGATTCGAACCCACGACTTTCTAGTCGCGCCCCTAGAGAGATGCTAATGCAAATAATATAGCTGTTAAACAGTGTATAAGGGTACTTGTAGGTACACGCCAATAACCACACGGATGTACCTGCTGTACCCTTTTGATTCCAATTCGAAAGATTGCACACACTTACCATGTCCGGTACCATTCTTTAAGAGGTTCTTCGGTAGTCGAGAACCCAGTACCATTGAACACTCAGTTTCAAAAACAACAAATCAATTTTATATTTAACCTACCTCGAGATCTTTAGTCTAAATGACTTTTAAATTACTAAAACATTGATCGTGAAATACACACAGCAGAACAGCGTAGTAAGTGTTACAAAATCCGGTTAGAGTACCAATTAGTATACGTAAAACAAAAATCTGGAAAAATCCATGTTATATGTCCTGATGACCGAGCCTATAACAATTGACACTTCACTTGTGAGTCTATATAACCCATCACCTGTGATAGGCACACAAACTTCCTTGTTAAAAACTGAATTGTAACTGACTGGTAATAATAATCCATGACCACAAACATTTTGAGTGGGTTCATGGGCGTCACACATTTACGGGGGGTCCGACCCCCCAACTTTTTTCGGGGGAGGGGGGGTCTGAATATACTCCCCCCCCCCCAAAAAAAAAAAAAAAAATAAAAAAATTACATTAGGGTTAGTTAAGATTCTATCTGTATAAAACCTGTACATATCCCAATATGGTTTACATTGTTAAAATAAAACACAGAGAGAATCATCCTTGAAACATGTGTGAAGTGAAAAGTAACTGTGTTCCATAAAATTGTCTTTAGTTAATTTTTTTCTGCCACTTATCAGAGTGAATCGCATGTAGGTACCCAAAACATTATCGCCTAAACCAAATATTTATCGCCCTCTCAGTCAGCCACGTAACCATAATACTTTGCACGCAGTGGGCCAATCAGCAAACGAGTTGTGTAGACAGCATGGCCACATGGTGTTTGTTTATATTTTTTAGGGGTTTTAAAATAGGGTAAGGGTTAGGGGTTAGGGTTGCGGACCCCCCCCCCCCCCCAATATATATTTCACGTCTACGCCTCTGTGAATGTTATGCAAACTTAAAATACAGATGTGACGTCATCCTTTGATGTTGGAGTACCATTATTTCAAATAATCGTACGGGCAATGTACCAAGCGTAACTTGGTAAAAATATTGAACTCGAGTGACGTATTTCATTGCAAAGCACGTGCAAGTGTCTGTATTTTAAGTTGTTTAATGGTCTCGAGCTTAGGACATTGCGTAATATATTGTAAAAACATTCGGGCCTCACGGCCCACATGTTGTTACAATATATTAGTTATTTTGCACATTACACTTCTCCGTTCTGCATTTTGCATAATAGACAAATGCATAATAGAACTTGGCATATTAGAACATATACATTATATTGGATCTACGACGAAGCTCATTTGCATACGGAAAAAAGTCCGAACTAAGTATGTATGTAATGTAGAGAGTGGGGGGTTTGGGTGCCAATGATCTAGCTCGTGCGTGACAAGGACTAAGGTCGCCTGCCCAACCGCGTAGAATTTCTGAGCGTGGTCCCCATTCCTTGAACTGTTGAAGGGTCCTTCGCGCAAGCGAATTTTTTAATTATAATTGCACCATAAGCTAGTCCCGAAATTAAAACACAGTTTTTCTCTTTCTTGCAACTAGAACATCAGTTAGTTTAGGTATGCACATTCCATCGCCATCTTTTAAGATTCGCAGTAACCTCTGATACCGGTGATATCTTAAATCTTGTTTTTTTTAATCAAATGTGAAATAATTGAATTTGTGTACATTTTAGGATGGATTATGCCTTGGTAAATATCATATATTTCGAAATATGCAAATGGCGATCAGCGGTTTTAATGAGAACATGAGATTAATGAATCATAATATTATGAACTTAATGAATTATTTTAATGTGGGCATGAACATAATGAATGATATTAATGAGACCATGAAATTAATCATTGGTATTAATAGGAGCATGAAATTAATGAATGATATCAGTGAGACCTTGAAATTAATCATTGCTAATTAATTGGAGCAGGAAATTAATGAGTGGGAGCAATTGTTTGACCCTAATAGTCTAAAACGGTGACTGTCGCTATTGACTTGCGGACGTGACCATTGACCTATATAACGTTTTTCTCTTTGACTTTCAAACCTTTTCCCTTCTACCCCATGTGCATGAGGGGGGGGGGGGGAGTGGCCGAATGGTTAGCGCGTTGTATCATAAGGTCTGTCATTGAGTCAACTGGCGTGTTTTCGATTCCCCGGTTGTACGTGACAAGGAGTAGGGTCGCCTGTCCAACCTTGTGGGTTTTCTCCGGGTCCTCCGATTTCCTCCCACTGCCAAAGTTGAACTATATGTTAGTCCCGAAATGACCTAGTTTGAGTCCAGTAGACGTTAAACCTCATTTATCTCTCTGTCTCGATATGCGTCTAACCATGCTATTTATAGAATTCAATCAACTCAGTGTTCCGTAAAAATAACTGCGCTCTAAAGAAATGCACCCAAGCAAGAATATCACTGGTTGCTCGGGAAATACATGGAAACCGTGCAGAGAATATCGAATGTATAATTATGTACATACAATGTTGAAAAGAACATCAATAGGTAAATATATATTTTGTTAGACGTGTTTTTTCGAGCCAAACATAAATTGCATCACACAGAGCAGCTAAATAGCACACGAGGAAAATAACACACCCAGCTCACGGTCATTGGAAGTTATAATATGTATAACAGTGTTGTCAAATGAAGGAATATACAAATATATATACAGATCACGCTTCACTCAACATGAAAACAAACACACAAACAAGGGAGATAATTCACAAACGCGACACACGAAATGGAGGCAGACCACCATTAATTTCTCCATTGACTTCAACTTTTTCCCAAATTTTCGCTGGGCTGAATGCTTTTCACTACAGACAGAGGAACAAATGGTCATGTCTTTGCACTAAAATTTGTATGAGGTTGACTACCAAAATTTTGAGATACACAAACTTGAAGAAGCGTACTAAAAACATGTAACTAGTTGCCGTACATATCACCGTAGCCAACCTCATAACCCCGTTATCCTTCCGCCTCAAAATCATGAATATTTACCAAAACGTGGCAGAAAATGTTATTTCAAACCCTCTTCATCCATTCTAGACCAAAAAATCAACCAAAATGGGCATGCAAAAGGGCAGAAAAGAGACAGAGAGAGAATTGCTATAAATAGACGAACTACGTACCGAGATGGTGAAATTTAATGGTGGTCTGCCGCCAAATGGGCGCAAACCACAATTGATTTCCCCGATTGACTTCCACATTAATTCTGTCTCTTTGCCCGACACCAACATTTCTCCAAATTGTCATTGGGCTGAATGATTTTCACTACAGATAAAGCAACAAATGACCATGTCTTTGATATGCGGTTGGCCAATGAAATTTTGAGATACATAAACATTTTTAATTGTGATGAAACCGGTTTTGTTTTTTTAGAGCATTAGGCGGTCGATCGTCGGGTGATAAAAATTCGAGCGCTATATCAAAAAATAATAATTTTTTGCCACCAAATACATCATCGATATACAACCGAAGAAGATTGCACTTCTGATATTCGAAGGTGCAATAATACTTCCGGTATTGAGTATTGCGTAATCCTGCATATTTTAACGATCGCGTACTATGTTGAAAGTGGCAGATTCCACTGTAACTATCCGCCATACATATTACCATAACCAATCTCTGCACTCCGCCTCTAAATCGTAAATATTTACCAAAACCTGGTCGAAATTTTAATTCCAACCCTGTGCATCCATTTCAGACCAAAAATTCAATAAAATTGTTAAAATTTAATGATGGTATGTCTCCTAATGGGAACCATTTTCGTAAATGGCATACAGATTGATCGTACGTAACTAAAGTTCGAAAACTACATGGTAGCTAGCCGCAGAGAGCTTGTCTCTGATGTTCAGAATGACAGATTGATACGACACAGAAATACAGAAATAAATAGATGGAGAAATAGATGGTGTTTAACGTCCACTCGACACAAACTAGGTCATTTCGGGACTAACAATATTAAAAATACATGGTTTAATTTTATTTCAATAATTCGCTTGCGCGTAGGGGTCTTCAGCAGTGGGAGGACCGGAGAACCCGGAGAAAACCCATGAGGTTGGACAGGCCATACTTATGGAAAACGACTACTGATTTATTTAGGCAACGTTTCAAAGAGTATGCTCTCAACGTATTACTACTGTTAGTGGTTCAGTGGGTAAGGCGGTGGCTCACTATTAGGATGTACCGGGATCTATCCTAGTGATGAACAGGAAAGTTCTAGCCTGGTTTGCCCATAACCTTGGTGTAGGACGGATGACCTGGCAAGGAATAGCATTATGTCGTTTGGACGGAACAAAAAAAAACCAAACCCAAAACGATGGGATTAAATTAATAGTAAGTGGAAATCCTGTTGCGGGGCAAATTTCCGTCATTATTAGATAATATTGTATTCAATTTAACCTTAGTCTGAAATGAAATGAAATGGGATTAACGTCCTACTGTTCTGTGCCGACTGGGATAATAAAGGCGGACATACGCCATACAGTGTGCTATGAGGGAAATTTTGCCCGGACAGCGGCACTTCGGTCTACTTTTATATGGAATTCCAATTGTCAAGGGTACTTTTACGTGCACGCCAATATGTACACAGGACCTTGTTTTTTGTCCCGTCTGAACGACTATACGTTGTCTCTTGCTAGGCCCTCCGTCCTGCATCAGTGATATGGTTGTCCATTGCCAGGAACTCCGCCCAAGTGGGAACCACGCCGGAAAATCCCGATGAACTCTCTCGTCATCACGGGGATCGAACACGGGACTTCTGGTTAGCGGTGCCAGCGTCCTACTTACTGAACCACCGTGGCTCCGGAGCAGAACAGTAGAATGTTTAACACCATTTCATTTGATTTATATTTTTTTTATATATATAAATATAGTACTCGAGAAGTTGCAAGACATGGCGGAGTTTAACGGGAGAACTGTCACACTTGTGATTTTTCGAAGTAAGTAAAACACGTTTCTGTTTCTGTATACATTATAATACATAGCGAATTATTTCTAGAAGCCAGTGTTAGCGTATAATGATTTGTCGTCGACAGTTTGACCCGATAATTTGTCGGGCTATAATTGTCAATATTTTCTTTCTGTTTCAGAGTGGTTTGCAATAGTTTACACTGTTACTGTAATGCTATGTGTTTCTGTTATAATTTGGGGTAAGTTGGTTGCTTAAGGTAGTAACTAGTGGGTGGTTCCACAATTGATAACTTTCCTCTTGCCTCCAACCACACTAGTTGGTGGTTCTAGGGAATTCCCATGGACAAGTTTTGAAATCACATTGTCCCTCTTTGTATACGTAAAACTTTATACCGGGTAAAGAAATGGAATGGGGTTTAATGTCTCGGCATTACAATACGTCGGCCATTGTGAGACAAGAATATTGTAATCTGTATTTCCATGGTTACGTTTGTCATACGAGGTAGTAGACTCCTATCCGGACAGAGACGTTGTTTCCGTCGTCTCCTTGCCTGTGTCTTTCTGTCAAGGGTTCTTTTCGTACATACCATCGAGGGGAATCTCAGCTTTTAGTCCCATCCGAACGACTTGGCAGACTTTTATTGACAATCCACTGAAGGTTGGGTTATAACTCCCCAGGACATTCTATGGGAGAATTCAGTACACTGACCACTAGACTGTCACGCCCAACCTCTAAATACATGTAATCGAATTAATAATTGTAGGACTCTGATCACTAACCTGTAAATAATCTAAAAAAACCTATTGGACTATGATCACTATATTTTGATAGAAATTCTATCGCCAAAACTAAGATAAAAAAAATCTGATCTAGTTGGGATGTAACAAATAGATCTATCGAAAGACCACAAGGTTAATACGTACAGCCAAATTTAGAGATAAACAGACTTATCTTTCAAGAGAGAGAGAGAGAGAGAGAGAGAAATGGGGTTTAACGTCCACTCGACACAAACTAGGTCATTTCGGGACTAACATATGGTTTAATTTTATTTCAATAATTCGCTTGCGCGTAGGGGTCTTTAGCAGTGGGAGGAAACCGGAGGACCCGGAGAAAACCCACGAGGCTGGACAGGCGACCCTACTCCTTGCCACGTACAACCGGGGATTCGAAACCACGCCAGTCCATATCTTTCAAGAAGTTTAACAAGCTGTGCAGGCTTGTACCATACCACAACAACCAATAGCAAACATATTCAAATATTTATAAAAATGTGTCGATATTACCCATTGGATAATATCCTATAGGTTCTATATTTATCTAATTATGTATGCACTGTTATATGTATCTACACTGTTAAAATGGGTGTAATTAAACGCTATAAGCAGTGTTAATTAAGTGTAAACTTTACCCCACAGCTAGCTTTTTTTAAAAATTTTTAAATGTAATACCATTCCAAGGGTAACCAACTGAAAGAACTACACCTAACATGTGTAACCGATATTTATGACTAGTGATTTTGGCGTGTTCTGGATAAGCTTCAGCATTACCAGTGTTATACTGCATTTACACCAAAGGGTGTAACTATTATTGGGGAATAAATCCTAGAACAACGTTAATTTTACAGCCTTTATTGCGTTGTAAAAGTGTAATCGATATTCATGAGTACTGAACACAAGGATAGGTGAAATTGTAGCCTCTAAAGGGTGTTTGGAATGAGCTACACCTGTACAAGCGATATATTGCATTTACACCAACATTCCTCCGAATAAGGTATCAATTTTATACGGTATCTTGCGTTACAAAAGTGTTTGCGTACTCCAATTTGAGTGCTTTTTGTGTAAAATATGGCGTTAATTGCATTAGTAGCACAAGTATAACACATTTTAGAGTGTTTACTCATAACGAATAATAGTCTTCCAGAATATTATCATGTATAATAATCTTAATAATATTTCATAACGCCTCAAGTATAGATTATTTTAGCTTGTATACACTTAAAGACGTGTACATGTTCCAACTACAATATCTTGATTATTCTTAATTCAGGTGAGGTGCATAAATGAATAAACCACATTATTCAGCTAAGTTGTAAGGAGGATATGTGTATTGATTTATATTTATTGTAAATTAATATAGATTGTCTAATTGCCCAACAGCAGTTGAATTTGAATCAGGCTGCGAAGTAGCCGACCTTCTATATGTAATCTGGGTTGGACTAAACGCCCTATACTAATTATCATGTAGATAATTTCAAGTTTTCTGAACTTAGAAGTCGTTGGTTTGAAATAAATATCCAACAAAACAAATTATACCCGCGCTGGTGTAATAATTAAAATGGAAGTGTAATTTACAAAACATCCTTGAGGGGTAATACTTAATCTACACCCACGGGAGTAAACTATTTAAGTGTAACATTACACTGTCTGAGTGCATCAGGCAAGTTACACTACTGGAAGTGGCAACTAGTTTCCACCTGAATTGGTGTAATGGTCTACACTAGTTGGGTGTTATCGGTTTACACCACTAAAGGCTAGGAGTTACCCCTATTTAGGTAGCAACTAGTTTGTTTCCAGCAGAATTGGTGTAAACTACCTTATAATTTTATAACAGTGTAATCAGAGAGAAGGGTTATTCACATAGGGCATAACCTGTTCCCCAATCCAGATATTTACAAAATAAAAAGACTGTTTATAAAAATGTTTTTTTTAGATCAATTGGTCATCAAGTAAGCTTAATTTTGTGATATTTCTTGTAGGTTCCTTGCACATGCCAAAGAGTCAGAAGCATTTGCAAACATATATGATCGTATCCACAAGTTTTGGCTTTTTATGTTCATCGATCACTTTTATAACATGGTACTGTATTTTATATAGACAAGAGGGAACAGAATACAGATTTGTGTATATATTATTGAAACTAGAGTATATTATCCTGTTGGTCGTGTCCATAGTTGGTAAGCTTATATCCTATATTTCATGCTTCCATTTTGAAATGAAACAAAATGGGGTTTATCCTCATATTGTTCTGAAGCAGTTGGTTGTACGTCATGCAATATTTCCACCTTCTGTCACGAGTTCTTTTAAGAGCACGCCAATGTATACATGTGACTAAGACGCTTTTCCTGATAAGCAGTACCGGATTATTGTTGGGGGATGGGGGTGGAGGTGGGGACGGGATGTAAAGTGGATTGCGAATAAGATCAAAAGTTCCGTATGATGACCGATATATTCTAATTTAGATTTGAAAATATAAAGGCCACTCGCTGCACATTCATTTACAGGCATCATTTATAGTCCGCCCATGGTGTTTTCTGATGTGCACATAGCTAGTAGAATCAGAGGTTACACTCGTACACGGCGAATACACGATTTAAGAAATACTAATTTCAACACGGGACTTTCTCATCTTGCTGAATTACAAATACATTGCATTGTTTTTTCTTGTCTTTCAAACTTGGGGGTAATTCTCCGACTTCTGTCGTAGTGGAATGGTTCCTGATAAAGGTTGCGATTTCTAGTCAAACGTTATTACATATTACTACAGCCAGTCATTATGTGTATTTGTAGGTGCCGTGTTCACGTATCAAAGATGTGTTATTTTTAACTCAATATATGAGACTAACAACCTTCAGTGTTTTAAAGTTTTAGACATTTTTACCAGCGCCTTGGTTTTCATTGGTTTCTATAATATATGCAAGACGACCCTTTTGTGTGGTCTGTCTTATATTGGTTATAGTTGTATCCAACCATCTGTTTACCATGTCGAACAATTTATAGTTAGACATAAATGACGTAGTTGTCAAGTCAATAAACTGTGAAGTCATACCAAGTCAACTAAACGTTGGAGATATACTAAGCCAACTTAACATGTGTGTTGATGACGATAAGAGAACACCATTGATCGTTTTCTATATAAACTGTGGTGTGTTTTTTATTGCGCTCATACCACTCAGAGCTTATATTGAAGAACTGATAGGACGCTAAAGATATATGGATAAGCCACTGGAAGCCGACTGAACAATATTGTGTAAATTAACAACTGGGGAATTGTATTAATAATAAACTGGGAGTATTTTATTGTATAAATAATAAACTGGGTGTATTTTATTGTATAAAATGTAAACGGGTGTATTTCATTGTATAAATAATACACAGGGCGTATTTTATTAAAATATTGTATACATAATAAACTATGGTGGCTGATTGGTATGTCGTGGTGTCGCCCTTCATAAGGCGACAACCCGACATTAAACACCATTTCCAGAGTGATTCCTCTTTGACGAAAAACCGTGGCCCCCATTTACATATTGGCGTGCACGTAAAAGACCCCCTGACAGTTGGTATTCAGTATGAGAGTAGGTCTTAGCGCCGCTATCCGGGTAAAGTTTCCCTCATAGTACACTGTATAGGGTATGTCCGTCTTCATTAACCCAGTCGAAACAGTACGAAATGGAGTTTAACGTCCTACTGTTCTGCCCCGACTGGGCTACTGAAGACCGGCTTACACCATTCTGTGTGTTATGAGGGGCATTTTGCCCGGACAGCGGCGCTACGACCCACTCTTATATGGAATTCCAATTGCCAAGGGACCTTTTACGTGCACGCCAATGTATACACGGGACCTTGGTTTTTCGTCCCATCCGAACGACAGCTGTCCTTGCCAGGCTCTCCTTCCTGCACCCCTGACAAAAGGAAATCCCGCCGGAAAATATTGATGAACTTCCTTGGCCAACAACCAGGGCGAACCCGCGACGTCCAGGCTAGCGAGCCAAGCGTCTACTCACTTAGCCACTGTGGCAGAACAGTTGGACGTTAAACCCCATGTTATTTCATTTCATTTTCCTACTCTTCCGAACCAGTCGGACTATTGAAGATAAGCATACGCTATGCAGAGTGATATGACGGAAATTTCCAATGGACCATGGCATTTCTTCATCGAATTTCAACTGTGAAGGATTGTGCACACCAATGTGTACATAGAAGGTTGTTTTTTTTTGTCCTCTTTACAATACTAGACACGGTTCTTTGTCCTGTGTACTGCACTGCAGACATGGAGAAACCGTGCTGCAAAATCTTGGGGAACATAATCCTGGGGAAGAATATGGCCGATAACCCTACACCACGACACCCCGACATCACGACACCACGACACCCCCGACATCACGACACCACGACAACCCGACATCACAACATCTTGACATTTTAACCCGAGAATACGACATTTTTACGCGACATTACGACATTAACCTATGTATATTAAGTATTTTATACATTTTCATCAAGTGAGAATAAATATGTTTTGCTTTTGTAATTATAACCTTATGTAAATTGTGATTGTAATTATAAACAATGTATTTATATAAGTCTGTAAATAATTTATTACAGGAAATGGATTTATTATAAGCTCCGACTTGTTTTCAGATCCCATAATTAAATATTGTCTCTTTATAATATGTAAATATTGATCGAATAAATATTGTTAAAAAAAAAGTCGGGGTGTCGGGTTAAAATGTCGGGTTGTCGGGTTGTCGCCTTATCAAGGGCGACACCACGACATCACGACATGATACCAATCAGCCACCATAATAAACAATGTGTATTTTATTAAAATATTGTATACATAATAAACAGGGTGTAGTTTTTTTCTAAAATATTGTGTAAATAATAAACAGTGTGTATTTTTATTAAAATATTGTATAAATAATAAAAGCGGTGTATTTTATATAAAATATTATATAAATAATTAGCCTGCATTTCGATTGATACTATCGCTGAGATAAGGTCAAGATTAATAAATAGTTTCCAACCCCTTTCCCATCCCTGGGCCCCACGTCAGAGTTTTACTCTGTTCAGGCAAATTTACCATATTAGGGTCGCGTGCCACCAGTTATGACATTAATCCAACACAAACCCTAACATTGTATTGAATTTTACTGGGCTATTCCCCTTTCACGGACGCCACGTTTTCCCGCATCCCCACACATATTGTTTCCATGACCAGTAACTTTACTCACAGTAAAGTAATTTCACTGATATATGTTCATTTTTCAATATTTATTGTAGAATTATTACAGCAAACAGGTCTTCTCTTTATCTAAATTTTACATAATGCATCTTTAACAATTAACATAACTAGATACTCACCTAACATGTATATAGAATCATAACTCAATCTGATTAAAACACAGATCCTATTTCGTTTCGTTTTTTATAGTTCAAAATTTCGTTTTACTTGTCTTTACTATTTCTTCAAATCTGTATATAAATGTATATAATAAATAGGGTTAATAAATTGGAGTTATATTCCTTTGTATGGTTGTCCGTAACACTGAAATGCTAAGCCCCACTTCTATACGTGTATTATTAAATTAAGCTCTCCAACATAGATTGTTGTTATTGATTAGTTCCCTTAAGAATAATTATGTAATATGTTCACTATGAAAGTATGATATCTGTAATGACCGCCCTTTCTGTAAATCTCGCATAGGATAAGGAAGACCATATTTGTGTTGATTGCATGGAAGTTTTTCGTGGGTTTCGCTTTGGTTTGGAGTATGTAAAAAATTGTAAAAATGCCACGTTGTATTCAAATACACAGATCTAACTTCTTGAAGGCTACATGGTGTTTCTACCCTATGATGTCTCTAGGAACGCCGAATGATGTCTCCATTAACACTGAATGATGTCTTTAAAATCTAAGCGCACTCCCTTCCTTTATGCATCAGTGTGCTATGAGGGTAATTTTACTCGGGCAGCGGCACTATGGCCTACTCTTACATTCAATGCCAACTGCCAAGCAAGGGCCCGAAAATCCCTCTCTGGCCATTGCTGGATTGGCTTCTGATACTTGAGCTTTTGATGGAGTGCGTCTATCCTTCCCGTTCAATCAAATCCATCCCAAGTACAGCAACATGACAGCCCTTCGTTTAATTTGGGGTCTTCCCTAAATCTTTGGACAGTGATTTAAGATATTAAAGACAGTGGAAGTATTGTTCGTCTCCAAACAGTATTGATTACACTGTATCCGTTTTGATAGCCTCGTTTGTCACGCAATTAATTTTTCTGCAATATTCTGCTATGCACTGGTTAATTTGGCGTAGTAAAATCGTGAGTCATGACGTAACGTCATGTAAACATATTTGGTCCAATTTGATATTGTTACGCAGTTAGCTATTGGTTGTTAATCGGACTATTGACCAGTCATAATTTGGAACAGAAATTTGCTTCCATTACAGCTGTGTTAAGTGGATTAGGTATAATCATACTGCGAGGAGTATGAAAAAACATTATCCTCAGCCATAACAAAGTTGAAAACCTCATGTCTACTATTGATTCCCCAAAAGCTAATTTCTTCACCTCTATGCAAATTATTTAACCCCTCCCTTCTTTCGAAAACAAGAGCGTCGCCCCCGAGAACAGAGCAAGTTTTTTGGTAATCTATTGCTTATTTAGATGAAAATGTTTTGTTGTTAAAAATTGATACCGTCTGTATGGATAAAAAGGGACCAGTCGGCCACCGACCCCCCCCCCCTTTTTATCCATACAGACGGTATTAATTTTTAACACGACAAAACATTTTTTTATCTAAATAAACAACTGGCGCATTTAATAGAATACCGAAAAACTTGCTCTCTGTTTATTCCAATATCTGTTAGCAGAACTATTGTTGAAATGGAAATGTTCAGAATAACAAAATAGAAAATCGATCAATATCATTGTTTACACATTCCTATAGAAACATCAGACTTTATTGTTAGGATTTCTTTATTATCCAGTCACTCAGTATGGTTTCTTTTAATTAAAACCTCGCAACATTTGTTGATATCTGTTATATAATTCTCATTTCTGTAGATGCTTGTCAGTTGACCAAGGTTGATTCCCCTGATTGTCGAGATTTATGTAGATTGTTGATTCGATAGTTCCATAAGAAAAATGGCAATGTATTACTCACCAGAAAAACTTTATATCTCGATTCCCAAACTAGGCAAAAATATGTTCTTTACAACTTGAGCAATTATACTAATTTCTTGTAGGTTAAGAAATTGAATCATAATGTATTAAAATTTACGTGCACGTAGGAATTTCTGTAAAAGAAACCAGTCTGACCTTCAGCGTGGTGCTGGAGGTTCAACGTCTGTTTTCGCAAGCCGGGATTGGGCATGGTCCAACTTTCCTTCGCGATTCTATTAAACTCTGGTACTAATAGCAAACACAATAAGGATCATGCCTGGTTAATAGAGACTATAGATATAAACCACAAGAGAAATAACAAACTGTAAGTGAGTTAAAAGGGTCGCCATGGTATCGATTATTTGATTGATTTTATAAATACAATCAAGATCTAACTTAATATCCATGTTTGCCTCCCGGCTCTATTTATTCTTTATTGAAATCAACATAAAACAGATGCATTAATAATCGGGACCGGATGACAAAAGAAAACTGCAGGTACGGTGGTTCCAGTTCTGCATTCATGTCACACGGACATCATCGTTAAGCCATTACCTGGATCTTATTTAAACTACTGACGGGATCCTTTCCGATTTTATCACCTACAGTTTCCCATCATTGCGATGTTTATAGAGTTTTACTGACTATATGGTGATATCATGAAAGCAACCACGTGACTCGTTGCCTTGGATCTTCGTGTAATATAAGCCATTCACAAATCTACGTTTCAGTTTTGATCATCCAAAGGTTCCAGTCTTAAACGTGGATTTTTACAAACTGCTTGTGTGGTGGTATTATTTAAGCAAAATATAACTCGCTACCTTTATTCTTGGCGATATTATTAAGCTACCCACGGGACGACGTTTCAGTTTTGGTCGCTTGCTGATGTTACATGTAAACCATGTATGCTTCGTGAATTCAGTTTCTGGCAGAGATAGATCTATCATCTACGACGAGATCATCAAGAAATATTATATTCCCAGAACCTTAAAGTTAATCTAGATGCAAGAAACCACAATGTGATCTAGAAGCATTGGTGAATAACACATCACCGGAAACGGGTTCTAAAACTTTTCCCGGTGCTAGCTAATCTGTGATTTGGAAGCAGTGTTGTGATCGACGGAATTTGTGCAAGGGAATAATGATAATCGTTCATGGTTTAAGATATCCCCAATTTCGTTTCATGTAAAACTTTCAGTCAATTGACCCTCCTGTTTGAAATTTTAAGTTGCCAGTTCCAGATGATGCCGACTAATTATAAAATGGTTTTCTTCCATTACCTGTCATTAGGATTACTCATAAGCGTTTTGTTTCAGTGTAATGTAGTTTTATCTGAGGTGACTTCTGAAGATAACCAGGTAAATTTTATATTGTATTATGATGAAAACAGACAACAGAAACGATCTCTTGTTGAACCAGTTCTGGTCTCGTGAATACAGGTTGTGACGGATGTCATGTTCCATGCTGGACATACGTAAATTGGGTAGTTGGATGGGCGGATGGTTAGCGCGTGCGCGTTGCATCGTTAGGCCTGTCACTGAGTCAAGTAGCATGGTTTCGATTCCCCGCTTGTGCGTAACAATTAGTTGGGTCGCTTGGCCAACCTTGTGGTTTCCACCCACTGTTAAGCCCCTCCCCCCTCATACGTAAATTACCTGTCCTTTGCGAAATATATGCTAGAATTCCATTTATCTTTATGATAATCTGTTGTTTTGTAACCTTTCCACGAGCAGAAGGCGGTTTGTATTTTCGTCCAAATTCACAAGGGCCTATCACTGTATATACCTGCATTTTTAAGGCAGTGTATACTAAAATTATAGATCACAAAACAAGACAGGAAGTAATGTATTCCGCGATAGGGGTAATCTAATTAACGCGTTCTAGTAGCATACTGAAGAAAAACATGTTCCCTAGTGACCATAAATAATTGTTTTAGTTCTAGTAACCGTTGATTTTGCAAACAATTACTTATCTTTAATTGTAATTCATCGTTTATCCAAAATATAGAATCATGGTCGTAATATCCAAAAATAATATTGTTCAATGCGGCTCTACTCCTTTTCACATCTGCCATAAACACAAAGACTAATTAAACCCTTTCAAATCCATGAAATGAAAGCAGAATAAATTCTTCTCAAGCTGAGCTTATTTTAGACAGAAAGTGTATGTTTAGTATTTCAGTTGTCTACGAAGTTTCCGACCAAATGGCCATCTCTTTAACTCGCACACGCACAAGGACCATGCATAATTGATAGTGATACGCGCCTATGTCCAAAGTAATCACGAATTAAGAAAAAAAAATCAATCTCTTTCAGGAACCGAGTAAAACATCTAGTAAAAATGAAGAAGGTTTGACAGTAGAGTCTGTAGTTCTGGGCCCTTTAAGGGTGTGGCATATAGTTTTTATAGTGTGTACTGTTTTAATAGTTATAAGTAAGTATATTGTATAATGTATACCGTTGTAATAGTTATAACTAATTATAGTTCTGTATCAACATTTATAGTGATATATTATGGTAGTTTCATAATTTGTACTATGGGAGCCCCGATGGGAGCCACCGGTGCCCTTTCCATTGGACGCCAAGCCAACGACCAACGTGCCACGTGCCATATTAGTATGCGCGCCCCATAAAGCCGAGTGACGTTGGTGAAGCGCCTCATAATGAATTACATGAAGATGGGGTGCCCAAAACGGCGTGATCTGTAGGGTGCCTTATCCCGGAGGGGCGCCAATAACGGCATGTTTGGTAGGGCGCCTTATAATGACAATATATGATTGTCGGGCGCTCACGACTGGATCAATGAGGCGCTCAAAACGGCATGATTGATGGCGTGCCTCATCTCGGAGGGGCGCCCATAATGGCGACATTGATGGGCCGCCCATGAAGAGATCATAAGCGCCCATAATATAATTGGCAGGGCGCCAATAATGCCGAGTGAGATTGGTTAGGCGCCCAAAACGGCGTGATAATCTTCAAAATTCAAACAAGTCGCACTCTAACCCGATTCAGAACTTTTCCGTTTTTGTCATAAATTATTATAGATACGCTAAAGTCGTATTCCTTCCTTCAAATTTTTATAATGTTCATATAAAAATATCATAAATATCGCAAATTCAGCCTCAAAATTGGAATTTTCCACCATTTTCATAGTTCCTCTCCTCGGTGGCAAACCCTATTTTCCAAAATGTTTTGGGGAGAGAGCACCCTAGACCCTTCTGCGAAGGGAGGCGCGTTCATGGTGTGGTTCACCGTGGACCGTCAAGTGTAGTTACATCGGCGCCCCAGTAACCCCATCGGCGCCCCCTGAAACCCTAGTATATATGTCACACTATTTTACAGTGGTGGTTGTGTGTTGTTGTTTTGATTTCCGTATACCAAGAACTCGTCAAGAAATAGAAGAAAGTTACAATAAACGACGGGCTAATGCAAAATATTTAAATTATCTAGAAAAGTCGCCTTCAGGGTTGATACAAAACAACCAAAAAATTTCGAAAGGTATGTAATTACAAATACTGTAATCAGAAATACTGCAATCATCTTACACTGCAATCTATATACATGGCAATAATCAAAATACATATTCGTATACTGCATTCATCATACACTAAAATCATCGTATTATTGCAATCGTTATGTATGGAAATAATCTTACATCATCTTATACTGTAAACGTCATAATATAGATCTACTGCAATCTTTATGTATAGAAATACTCATACATTATTCCATAATGTATTCATCATACACTGCAATCGTCATAACATTATTTTTTGTGGAAATAATCATATGTCATGTTATACTGCATTCATACTGTAATCATTATGTACGACATTCATCATATACAATGATCGTCAACGGTCACCCCTTTTGGCGTTTATCTATTGTTATCTCCCTTCTCCTCCTCTTCTCCTTCGCACTTTTCTGATCTTATCCTCCGTTAAAATAACGTTCGTAGAAAATACACTAAATTAGTACAGACTTGCTGAATGACACACTTTAAAAATCAAATAAAATACGGTAGGCATCTGTCATGCGTACAATCCTTGTAACATTCATTTGGAACATATGCCATTGCATTAAGTTTTCGTCTATATATTAATAATAAATAGCGGATGCAATAGACGAGATAACTAGCTTGCCGGGGCCACGACACCCTCCTTTTTCTTGGTTAGTCATTTGTTCCAAAAAACGCATGTCTGTCGTCGAAAAAATTAACTTTGAAAAAAGTAGTTGCTGTGGACAAAAGGATAACGTTACAATATCTTCTAACGTTATTGAGATAATCTATTTCACGATTTCTTTCTATTAGAAGTAAAGAATGGTGTAGATGGTGGTCAAAAACCAGACAGAAGACCCAAACGCAGACCAGATCGAACTTCTGTCATTCATGCTGCTGATGATCAAGATTCTGGGAAATCGGATGGTGTTAGGAAACACAGACGGATAGCGTTGCAAGAGACAAACGGATTCAATGGTGCAGCAGTTGCTATATCTAAAAAGCGGCAAATAGGTGGGTAGTTGTGATATGAAATAAACCCGGGGGTCTGGATTATGGACGTCCAAAATGAAATATTCACCCCTGTCAAAGTTACTATATCATACTGTAATAGCGCACCCATGTCTGACTAGTGTGAGCCGTTGAAGATCGCATATTAATTTTTTAGCACTCGGATGAAGTACAGGGAACAAAATACAAATAGAAACCCAAGCCAATAAAAGTTACATACATAACGTAGCGATCAGGAAGTTTAAAATAAAGTGTTTACTTTATACGGGTCGTTTTCTACATACTGAGTATTGGTTATTTATCAGCTTTCGTTTGATTTCTCAGTGTATCGAATATAGACGTTTGAGAGAAACCCATGGGAGACAACTCTTATATTGCTATATTCTCGGACACGTGAAAATGAAATGTGGTTAAAGTCCTACTTTTCTGTACCAATCGGATTAATGGCGACGGGAACACTTCACGCAGTGTGCAAAGAGGAATATTTTGCCCGGATAGCAACGTTTCCGCCAATTCTTCAAATCCCAACTGTCAAGGGGTACTTTTACATGCATGTCAATGTGCACACGGGTAGGGTGCCCCGTGCAGCGAAAATTTTCTCTACTGAAAGTTGAACTGGACACGGCGAATGTGCACGCTTCAGTGGCTTGTCTCGAAGTGATTTTTGGCTAGTCACGCAGTACGATATGAGTCTATAAATAACCATCGCATGTCAAATTCTCTACACATCTATCAACTATTACAGCCGTAAAATATCTATTATTGAAGATTCTGAATAGCAGTAATATTTAACTTTTTGGTTATTGCAGCAACTTTAAAAATTACGTTCGTTTTATTTTTTAAATTGCTTTATCATTAACTATACCGTTAGGAGCGGCATCTTTTGGTTTAGTACAAATAATATCTCTAAAACACTCGGGTTAGACAAGAACATGATACTAGCAGTAATTTCATTTTACTGTTAAAAGGTTCTTAAAACAATTGTTGAGTATTTCTAAATTCAATTTCTTATTCCAGCTTTCTGTTATGTTTAGTAAAAAGTAGTCTTGATTATCCCGACCTGTCAATCAGATGGAGAATAGTCGGTGGACTGGTTAAGCGAGACCAATTTCAAACAAGCGCACATAACCTATTTTTTACTCAAAATTGCCCAGATGTTATGGCCGACACTCATAACCATTTTTCAGTCTATTATTTATGGATGGTTAAATGTTCATAGCTTATTAAGTACAACATGGCCATTTATTTAGTGACTTTTAATGTGCAAACTGATTTAAGGCTTGGTATAATTATATATAAATATTGTGTTGTAATTGTCAAGATATTTGGAGATATTTATGTATGGTGGGGCACCCTAACAGGGTGTCTCAGTTTTTTGTCCCCATCAGAACCACTAGACGCTGTTCCTGATAAGGTCCCCCGTATTTCACCACTGACAAGGATAAACCACAATGGAGAATCCCGAGGAACTTTCTCGATTAAATACTCAATACCACTCTTTTTGTAACTGAATAATATGTCCCAATCTTTATTCTGGTCAACAAATTGTTCTATTTTACAATATTCCAATTAATTGATGATACAAATTTCATCTTAACACACTAATTTAAAAAAATTGGAAAAATTCATCTAAATGATTTGAAAAGCCTGACGTAAAGCTTTTCAAATGTGACTTGGATTTAAAAATATTTTTGAACCCTCTGGACAAGTAAAATAGGATTTAATGGATAATTTACACAACAGGTAAGACACTAACACACCTAGTACTTAGAATAAGGCTATTTTTTTATTTTCTGGAGCTGTCAAGCCAGCAAGAGTGTTATTGTCCCTTTAACATCGGGGTCGATCCGAGTATCTTCAGATTAGTGAGTAGTGCGATAACACAGAGCCACCGTCTCCCGTATGAAAAGTGAATGCCAAGCTTCAAAAATCCGAAAGCTGGGAATTGAAGCTGGGAATTTACATTATAAGAATAGTATCACAATGGCCCTTTGTGTTAAGATATGTTTTCCCGAGCACAATTAGGTCAACTATTCGATGGATCTGATTGTTGAACTTGAAAAAAATAATTACAATGAATAATTTTGCAGCTGGTTTATATCGCACTCTAAAAAATCGATATCAAGAATATAGAACCAAACTAACTTATCAACCGAGTTCTCTGTGTAACCTTTGTATACTGATTGAAATGTTAATTACTGTTCAACCGGAAAGTAAAAGTTTAATGGTGTGAAAATGAATAAAATATCGTTTATTAAATGTTTACAGTTACTGATCAGAATTTCCGAATGTCAAGCGAAATATATTCTTTTCACTGTATTAACAATATTATCGACATTTTTATTCGTTATCACCTGATGCCGCGGTTGTCCAATGTGTAAGACACTGGAACAGTAACCAGGGTTCGATCCCGGCGTTAGTCGATAAAGTTCCCCCGAGCTGCTAACTGTTCGTACCCTAATCCTTGAAAACGATAACAGGATACTTATCGAAACGTCGTACTAGTGTATAATAAACTAATGATTGTTGTCCCATATAACTGTGTTTTGTTCGTACCATTTTAAAAATAACAACTAATTCTAGACAAAACTGTCGCATTCATGGAGTTACGAAGTAGGGACTATTAAGTGTAATGAAGAGTAGTATACCATGCCTCACGCACAATACCCATCGCAACCTTTTTTTCATTTATTTCGCAATATCTGCTTCAGTTTCAACATCTAAGAAGGAATGATGGGGTGTATTGATTGCTATCAGGGAAGTCGTGAAATGTGAATCGCCGCGGGGGCATCCAATCTCTATACATGAGTTAATCATGTAGAAACAACCGTCTAATATTCTAACTAGGATCTGTATAATTACACACAGACCATCATCAAATATTTTAAAGATACACAAGTTGAAATAACAAAATGATATATTGCACATACATTATTGTGCCTTGGTCGAGTCGTGGTGATTGTGAGCTTTTTGAAATGAACTCATAAATGGTAGTTCCTAGGATCCAATCTCGAAGTTTGTCTCGAAGAATCTTCGAGATTTTTCAAAACCCGGTTCTGCTTTGTGTATAGCACATACCAAGGACACGTTCCGATGGGATTAAAGACGTGGGTCTCGTGCATTAATTGGTAGTACAGGTGCAATTTAACAAAAAGTAGGCGGAATTGCCCCTGACCCGGAAAGAAACCTCCCATCCCACTGACATTGCACACGTAATCAAAGAAATGAAAATGACTAAAAATACCCATCGCTAACGTGTTTATATCTTGTGATGTCCATGTATTCTGTCTTGTCCACAGGTTTATCTTGTCCTTCTGTACTTGCTATAAGCGTGTGTTATTTCGCTGTCTAGGGATATTCTGTTGTTATTGAACGGCATCAAGGGTGTCGTCAGCAGTATGTTCAAGCTTCAAATCCCGGCACTGGTCGAGAAATATTTTAGGGATTTTTCAATTCCGATTCTGCTATGTAGGGTGAGGCGCCTTCCTAGTCGTTTCGCCATTAAAGGTGTCGTCACACTAACTTAATCTTGTTAATTTGACTTTCGTCATAAAATACAGCAAGAATTATAATCTGCTTTTACAATGGCCGAATCCCTTTAACTATTACCATTAAAACTAGAGAGACTAGAGAGAGAGAATGTTACTAATATGGCGGCTAACATTGATTTTTGCTCTTATTGGTTTCTTTTACCCTTTTATCGTTGATAAAAACAAACTCAACATTCATATTAACCCATCTTTAGATCTTGTTCTGGTAATAACGTGGAAGGCTTGTTATATCGGCTCACTGGGGTAATTTATCGCCGCCATTTTAAAGCGAAATTCCCATACAATTTTAGCCAAGTAAAAGTATAGACATATATTTATTGGAAGAGCCGTGGTTATTCTGGCACTAAACCTATTGAGTTGTGAGCAGTGCCGGATTTAGATGAAGAGATGGCAATATAAAATCTATCAGTGAGATGATCCA